CGCTTCGTGACTCGGTTTTTGATGATAACTGCTATGAAACGATCAAAGGAAAGGTATGAGTTAATTATAAATTTGTTTATAGTATTTTGATACTTCTGCCCTTCTTGATGCTTCCGATTCTCATATATGGCAGTAACAACTTACCTTTTCCTATGGAATTCCCAATCCTGTCGATCGAAACGGAAAAGGCCTACTGATTTCCGTTTTCCGGACTTCGATTCCGTTTCCTAAAATGTTTGGTCCACGACCTATAGTATTAGATCTTGAGTAGGATCAAATCATATCAAAACTTACCTAAACCGTGGATAGTTCTTGCTATGGGTCTATGCTGGGCGGAGCACGGGTTCTCTTCCGGCTCTTGGTTCATTCCAGCTTCGTTTCAATTGTTCACTGTAGCGTGGGCCTTTCATTGAATCACAGATCAATCCTTATTGACCGCTATTGATTGATTTCTTGGGAGTATCTTGCAGTAAAGCTCTACAATACATACCGTCTTCATCCGCTTTATAGGTTTTGATCGGAATCGTTGATCAACTGATCCAGGGCATCAGTTCTCAGGCGGAATGTCTCAAACGATGCCAGAAAAGCAAAGATACCAGCGATATTGTCTGCAAAAGTGCAGTCTATTATGAGAAAGAAAAGGTGAGTGAAAGCAAGCTTCATGTAGGAGTATCAACACCGATGAACTGCAGCCAGCATCCCAGCTGCGGTCACTCTTGACAGATAGAAGTGACAACTGCTGGTGAGATATGTGAGGGCTAGATTCGTTATTAACAATATGCAGTGGCCTGGAACTCCATCACAAGGCCATCAAGCTTCCTAAAACGCTAGTCTCAGTCCTCATACCTAAGTTCACAAAGTTGTTTGCCGTGGAGATACCGGTTGAATCTGAGCGTGCATACTTCAAGGGCGAAGGGGGTGTATTCTGCATGGTTCACTGTCACATGCACGGTCCAAGAATCGGATTCCGGATAGGTCCTTTTCAGACCATGGGAGTCTACACCCTTCCGGGATCGACTAGTTAGTAATAGATTCGTCTGAGTGAGAGGAAAAAGCACTGATTTTCACATTGTGTGGCCACCAGAACTTAGTGTATAAGCCATACGCCCCTGCAATTTCGAATGGAAACGGAATGTGGGGACGTATCACTCCAACGGGAATGATCATCACGGAAAGACTTTCTTCCTTTCTCTTATGTGAATAACCAGTATAATTTCAGGAATGTGTCATTGCATCCCAATCACGTATAGATATCCCGGACCTTTTCGTTGAGGATGAACAAGGCATTTACATGGAGAACATATGTCTCAATGACAGCGGTGCCAGCATGAAGAAACTTAAGGTTAAAGCAAGATTTGTCATATGTCATTAAGCTTGATCTATAGTTTTGAGTTTCTCAATTAAACTTATCAACTATCATTCAAAGGCTAACTTTCCCACAGCGGAATCTGTCAGGGAGAGGGCGACTCAATGAACAATGACTTGATGACTTTGTAATATTATGTTGTGAACTTCACACGAAACCGTGTTCTCCTTTTCCTCATCATTCCGCTGATCGGGATCCTATGATGGAGGATTTTAGAGGGAGTTTCAGGTGGCACGTGTTAGATCTACTGTCCCATCGAACCAGACTCAGTTGGAAGGACAAATGCTTAGATTAGAACATCGGCTGGCCACTGAAATCGTATCGGCCAAATACGCATTCAAAACGCCTCTCCGATTCTGAATGGAAGTCAGATGTGTAAGTGGGAGAAGGGTGGGGAGGGGCATTCCAAAGCAGGTGCTTAACACAGAGACTCTATTCTTCTAATATTTATTCTTTATCCATGATATCCGTCGAAAACAGATCAGAATAAGAGCGAACTTGAAATATGGTTTCCAAAGCGACCCCTGAAACTTATAATATCAAGCGATTGCTCTTACCGCACTACCGTCCTCACCAACAGATGGTCCGGGTACGACGAACGTCAAACCTTCCAAAACTTCTCCGATACCAGCTTAGGGACCTTGAAGGAATGAAAGCCTGGTCCTACACGAAGGTTTCAGGTTTCATTTCGGTGGAGCAGAGCTTTGTGTGCGTTTCGTTGTTCTATTATTCCTGAATGTTTTGCGTTTGTTTCAGGCGTTATCAGAAGCGAACCCAGGCGACAGTTCGAAGTCGAGCAGCACTTCGACAGAGGTCAGTACGGGAGGAGTTTTGTTGGTGTGCATAGCTTACTGTAATGTTGGGAAAGAATTCCTTCAGATCGTGGCTAGTTGTGCCCCAAGCCACTTCAAGGCATCTGTTGGGATGCCCGAAGAGAGGGAATAGTCATAGTTAATCGTGATATGATGCTTTCACAAAGAAACAATACATTCAGGCAACCACTACCCGAGAAGCTATGGAGAGCACTACGTCGTCATCGCTTCGCGACTTTTCAGCTCCAGCTCCAGCTAGAGCGACCCAAGAGGCTAAGAAGGTGATAATTCAGCATGTCATTGGTTCTACTACATTCCAAGCTTTTCCTATGGTTTCCAATTTCTTTGCAGTCCATGAGTGGTGGCACCGTTGAGCAATCTGGTTATGACTCTCCATCAGATATGATAGGGGGCCAGAGTTCGGTTGATGAGCTTGCGACTCATGCGACTACAACTTCTACTACGACGGAAAAACTTACTATAACCATCAACCCAAAGGTATTCAATGTCATACTTCTTGTTCTATTTCTTTCAATAATAGGTAAATAATTTAAGGTAATCGATTCGTACAATGTGGATGTTGGTGTAAAGAAAACTCCTATCGATGCTGGATACGGTAAACGGTTACGGGACTCGAGAGTGAAGGAGTGTTTCACGTAAGAGCAAGGCTTTATGGAACTTCTGGGAGGGAGGGAAAGGGGGAGGGGTGCGGGAGGAAGGGCAAAGATGGTGGTGGTTGGGTGGGAAAGCGGGGAAGGGAACGAGATAGAAGAGCTAAAAAAGAGGACGAGAGAAGCATGATTTACATTTCATTCTGGTTAGATCGATCTAAAAAGCGGTTAAGAAAAGTATGGGACTTGTCTGCGTCTCTGCTTGGATGCTGCCTCGTTTCTCTGCACTCTGTTAGGGGGATATGAGCTCAGAATGCTTCTCTGTCTTGGCCTTCCGAACGGTATCGTTTTCAGTGAAGTACGTCCACTTCGACCAATGAAAGAGTCCCGTGTCACCAAAGCGTACTCGTTGGAACAATGCACAGACATTTGCCGGCTCTGTTGGAGATGTCTCCGTGGAAAGAAATGCCTTGGAGTTGCTTTTGACATGTTGGTTATATTCGAAGTTTATCACTGGATCAATTTCGAGAACCTTTCCTATTCAGTGATATTTATTAAGCGCTGCCTTATAAAAGTATTAGTGATGATAGGTCAGATAGAGCCAACAAAGCTTCCGCAGCAAATTGCATGCAGTAGCAGGCTTTCATTCAAACTTTTGAGGTACACACTGCGGCTCGGGACCATAGAGGGGCTGCTGCATAGCAGCAGTTCTAGGTACTAGCTAATTAGCTTTCACAAGTATTAATAGCGGCCAACTGCATTTCGAAAAATTGAAATTAAAATCAAAATATCGAATAAAAAAAGGCACCACTACTCCATTCTTGCTCAAAAATCAAATTCCGGACCGTATCTTGCCCAAGCCACCCAGCGTAACCCCACAATTCTCGAGCCTGTAGAAGGATATCTGGAAGGAATTCATTTTACGGGTTTTACGGGATGGATATATTCATACATGACTTAGTCTAGAGATTGATAGCTGGCAACAGTGAATCTCTATTGTGTCCAACACGATCTACAATTTCCAAATAATATCGAGGCATGGCGCATTCCTCCCTAAGGCTGGCAAACTTTATGGCCTATTCTTCTGTTCTTGTAAATACGCCGCAACCCAAAATCGCAATAAATTACGATAAGCGAAACAACTGACAATAAATATAAACAAAATAATATAATGAAAACAATATAAATGTAAATGAATAACTGTAAATATGTGCAAAATTATTATAATAAATGAACCAAAATAAGTATAATCTATTCCATATAGAATATATTTATTTATATATAGCTGTACAATTAATTCCGAAGATTTCATTTCTAAAATTTCCCGTTGCAACAGCTGTATAAGACCACGAAAGTGTTGTCTGTTGTAGTTATGATTTACCACTAGAAGACTTGAGAGTGTGATTTGAAGTCTTCGTTTCTTTCTCCCTCTACCGTAATCACTTGTGTCGAACATATTTTCTACCGTAATCATTTCTGGTAATCTCACTTGATATATTTCAGAAGTAGTGAATTATGCGCATTGTCCACAAGTCATATGGTCGATGGTGGTGATATGCAAGACCTCGACGGTATTGTTTACCACAACAGAAGTGATTGTTGATTCTTCGATCAACATTTTTACGACATCATGCCATTCGTGCAGATACCTACTAATCGTGATCAGTGAATGTTTCCATACGTCATTGTTTTTTGATTGATTGCAGCACTTCGTCATAAAAAGATGTTTCTGAAACGAAAGAGTAACCTACTTGAGAACTTTCTGGACTTCTCATGATTGTACTTCAACTAGAAAGGGAGAGAAAAAAATCAGAAAATGTCCAAGGGCTAGTGACCATAACAATTTCCTCACTGAGAGTGATGAATGATAGCATAAACTGTAATGAAACTTTCCCCATTCCGAAAATTGCCACTTCTGTGATGAGATCGTTGGTGGACGTGTTTTCGTAGAGCATTCTGAGAGTAACTTGCTTCATATTTGGTTGTTAACCCCTCCCCTTCTCGCTTTTTTTTGTTACTCTGCTCAAGAANTTTGATTGATTGCAGCACTTCGTCATAAAAAGATGTTTCTGAAACGAAAGAGTAACCTACTTGAGAACTTTCTGGACTTCTCATGACTGTACTGCAACTAGAAAGGGAGAGAAAAAAAATCAGGAACTGTCCAAGGGCTAGTGACGATAACAATTTCCTCACTGAGAGTGATGAATGATAGCGTAAACAGTAATGAAACTTTCCCCATTCCGAAAATTGCCACTTCTGTGATGAGATCGTTGGTGGACGTGTTTTCGTAGAGCATTCTGAGAGTAACTTGCTTCATATTTGGTTGTTAACCCCTCCCCTTCTACCTATTTTTTGTTACTCTGCTCAAAAAGATTTTTGAATAATGGGGATTTGTGGGACATACTAGTCGGGTAACCTAAAGTCTTTGGCCTAAGAACGCCATCAATTGAGCGACCATCACAGCAGCATTTTGCAAAATCTAGCAAATTCCTCATACATAGACCCAGAGCCCCAGCAGATCCGTTGGTACTCGTGGAAAATATAAGGAATGACAGCCTTTACTATATTGAGCTTATTACAGTAGTCAATCTGCTACCAACCGGCAGACACTGATTAGGACTAAAGATTAAAATAAGGTGATAACCGTAGCCTGCTGTCACGTCCAATTAATTTTACTTCTTTTGAGAAATACCTGTTTGCGGAGGTCGACCAAGGTGGTCTTGCCAACCGGAAGCAGTCAGTGTTAAGATTTGTTGTGTGAAGATACCACACCGCCTATAAAACCTATCCTCTTACACAAGCCACATTTTATGGCACAGAAACTCAACTTTCCTAACATACAGTAGCGCTCAAAAGTCTTCGGTGAAATGGTTCTTAAGCCGTACTTTTTAGTCGTAACTCCTTTCCTACTGGAACTAATCCCGCG